TCAAAATTACCTCAAAAGAATTGAGGCCTGTAGGAGGTCTCGTGGAGTACATTTAAATGATATCGTTTCCACGTATAATGGCAAGGTTTCATCTTTATATTGAATTAAAATATTCGTCTGCATCTGAATATTTTGTGTTTTTTTACTTTACTTTCACAAGCATAAAATGGATAACCCTGTATAAGTGTTTCAAGATTCAATTATTCTTCAATTAGATTAGTACTTGGCGAGGGATGCAGGTCTTGGCTCTTCGGGCTCTTGTAGGGTATTTCAGTAGCGATGGCGTTTATGACTAATGGTCCCTCTTGACAACCGATGAGATCAGCAAAATTTTTCTATTATCCCTCTTCCATATTAATGATTGTATTTATTTTTGACGGCTATTTTTGAGTCCCAGGGGAATGGAGACGTCTCCCGACTACTATTATCTGAACCGTCTCCAGGTAGTTGACTGATTTACTTTTGTGAGATCAACAACACAATGAACCTTGTGCACATAAAACATGCTGCAACTGCCGCACGTTATAATGCTCCTTAAAACTTAAATTACTCCACATCCAACGCAAAAAACAACAATTAACCAATATCCTCATGGCCAATAAGATGATTTACGCATTTACTACAATTTCGTATGGTTATTAAAGTGCCTACATTAGTCCTTTTGACGCACTGAGAAGTTTTTAAAATAAATTATGGCGATGATGGGTGGCTGTCATAATGTGACTAACAGTTTCATAAATGCATGAGTATCATGTATGCGCATTGATATGAATACCACACACGAGGCATTGTACCGTTCCTCGATCATTTTAAAATGTTTTCAGGCTATTTTGCTTTTTTTTCGTCTTAAAGGTGAAATTGCAAGTCAGTGGAATGCACCGTAACACGAAGATGAACAGCGAGTATTTAAATATAGACAATATAACAAACAAATTCCTACCTGTTTCTGTGTCGATGGTGTAATCAACGCCAGCCCAAATATCTTCTTCTGGAGGTTCGCTTTCTGGCTCCTCCTCCTGTAAAATGACACAAATCTTACACATCGGCAAACACGACATTTCCCGCAAAAGTACCTTGATCTTTTCATCTTTGTCCGCCTTGAGCCCTTCATCATCTTCATCAGACAGTAATGAAGTGGAAGGGTCGCAATCTGTTTTCAATGCTTCGGTTTCCAATGCTGTTTTTTCTTTTAGCTGCTCTTCTTGTCTGGCTAACTCCAAGGAAAAACCCAGATCCACATCCTGTTTCCAGAGAACTTCGATAAGATCCATATCCTGCAGCAAAGAAAACTTGCCATTAGTCAAATTCAAATATACCTACCTACATAAATAAATTATTTTTCAAAATAAAAAAAACACATTTATCTTTTTTTGCTATCTTGGATTAACATGTTTATGCACCACCAGTAGGATCTATTGCATCATATTGACAGATTAATTTTCGGCCCATTCAATTCGCTATTTTCACGATTATCCCGAGTAAACCTTAATGAATGGTATGCGAATCAATAGCAACTTTCGAGGATTGTTTTCAATATTGATTTCGTTTTATCAATTTCTATATTTAGCTTTTTATCGACTGACAATAAATTTTGCATACTTACAGCCATATTCGCGGATGATCATGCCCAAAAAACTTCGAAAAAAACACTTTGCAACGTTAGAAAATCCACTAGTGATTATGGAACCAGATTTAACACCAAACTGAAATGAAATTCGTCTAAAACAACAGAAACGACGATAAAACATGCGTAAAGATAACAGACAATCTAATTATTCTATGCGATAAAGATAAGAACCTTTTCATTTTCGAAATATTGAAGGCAACCTTGAAATTAATAGAAAATAAAATGAATGAGATTTTGTTGAAAACATAGGTATCTAAGTATGCGCTTTAGATAATTACAACCATACCTATTCCTTCACATTTTCAATTTTCTGGTTTAATAACTTAATAACGTAATGGTTAAGTTCTAGACTAGAGTTCAATTGGCGCCAATAAAAGTTGCCAAAACAGAACTTTATAAAAATACCTAACAAATCAAGAGATCCAACTTCAATTAAACCAGTTGATGTTGATAAGTCCACATAAGCAAATACTCACAATTTTTTTGGTAAAGTTACTTCTGTGATCATCAAGAGAAAACTGCGAGAACACAGTGAGAATGAGATAAGGATATTTCGTCTTGGTTCAGAATACGCGGACAGTGATATGGAAATCTAAATCTTCCTTAGATAAGGCTTTGTGGAAGATTTTAAATTAAATCAAAATTCTATCTCCATTCTTATTCAATTGTCCTGTTTGCTTCAGATAGAGGATTTTTGATTTTCATTCGAATGTGCCGTTTCTTTATGGTAAAGGATGGACAAATGAATGGAAATTCTTCATTTTTCCTTCAACAATTCGAATTATTTACTTTTTGAAAATTATCGACGCGTACAAATTTGATTTAAAGTGATATTTTTACGTGTTGATTGGACAAACTCAATTATTAATAAAGAACTTATAATTCTTCGCAAGGACTCAGTTCCTAATCTTACTGTTTTCAGACCGATTTAATTCAAGACGTTCGCAAAGGGATTTTGAAAAAATAATAATTAAAGCATCTACTGTAAACTGTTCAGCGGTAGTTCGTTACTACTAGAGGTTTCACTGTTTCATAGAATGTGCATAAAAACATTTATTTTATTAAATTGTACTACAATTTCAAAGAAACGTTAATAAAAATTAAAACAAATGTTCGTACCAACTACCCCTCGATTTAGGAAATCTAGAACAGAAGGAAAAACATTTGGAACTAATAACTTGGTATGTTAAGGGTTTGAAGCGGTTCAATTTTCTTATCATGTTTAAGGGCTTTGAGGATAGAGTATTTTGCAAGAGTCTTGACTTGAGGCAAAACAGGATCAGTCTCGCTCATCACCAGTAGGATTCCTGCTAGGTGATAGATTCTCTATTACGCTTTGATAAGAAATTAGTTTTTTTAACTCATGCGACAATATGCGGGTAGGCGGTAATAAAAAGCCGACAAAGAGCAAGAAAATTCCTTAAATCTCCCACTAGCTGATAAATTCTAATTAAGTTTCGATCCGGAATTGGTTCTTGGCGAATCCAGGATTTTGATCTGAAGGGGGCTGAGGTGATAAAAAAATACCTATTTGATACTAATTTCTAATCGAAATTGTTTTTAATCAGATATTTATATAAATATACATTTAATATTTTGAAGGATGAATAGTTATCTGCATTCTACAGGGTTAGTCAAAAATTCCGCAACAGCCAATAGTTCAGAGAGGATTACGTGCAGTTTTTTGCAATTTTGTACAACGGAATTTTTAAGTATTCTTGATCCAATAATTATTTGTACAAATGTCAAGTTTATAGTCTTTCTCCCAAATGCCCAAATCTTTCATATTTGAAAAAATATGTTTTTATTTAGTACTAATAAAAACATATTATTTTGATTGCATACAAGAGAGAGATTTTGAAACCTCAAACTTTGACATTACCTTAAAGCTCCAATCGGTATTTCAATAACGAAGACCATAAAAGACCTGAAACGCTTAATTTTAATATTTTTGAAACCTTAAAATAAATTTTCCCTTTTCATTTTGAACACATCTTGATGCGTTTCTATACAAGAACCCACGCATGAAGAAATAAATAAAGAAAGGAAAAATAAATATGACTTTTTTGTAAAATATTCACACTGGAGCAGTTTATTTTATTTCGGCCAACAAGAAGCAAAAAGTAGCAGCCATTTTTTCACCGTAATAAAGCTGAATCCTCGAAATATCAAATTTAAACAAAACATTGACATTATTTAGAAAATTATCAAGAAACAACATCAAAAAACAGAAATTTGCACTCTCTGTATCTTGGAAACTGTGCACTTTCGGACTTATGTTTATGGGAACTTTTTTTCATAAAATGACCTAAGAAATCACGTCAGTAAATATTGCAGCGTCTTTTTTAAACATCCTGATGCATAGTTGACGGATTGCAGTTTTACAGTGACAACAATGGAGCAGTTTTTTCTGTTTTGTCCAAAAAGGAGGAAAAAGTAGCAGCCAGTTATTTAATCATCAACATTTACTGAGTAATTAGTACATGAGTTCAGGAAAATAGTTAGCTAAATCTCTCTGTTCAAGTCGTACTTGCTGTGTTTTACATGATTTTTGAACCCTCTTATATAAAAAAAATACTTAATATACCTACTTAGTTGTATATTTTCATCACGAATTTTGCTATTATTTGGTCCTCCCTCGCCTGTTTCCCAGAATTTCCGAACGCCCAATATGTGCATAGTGGTCTTTACGGATAGTAAAGTACAACAAATAAATCAAGATCGTTGATGACCGTAATGTTAATTGGTGATACCTGTTTAGGCGTTTGTCTTTAGAAGCTCTGAGGATGGTTTAAATATAGCCGAAACGTTGGTCCCCCAAAAAAAGTGATTAATTTTTTTGCACTCAAACAGACATCTTTTACCAGTAATAAGCAAAGTCTTAACACATAATAGCAGGTAGAATGTGAGCTGGACGGTTTTTTTGCTCATATGCAACTAGGCCTGGGTAACTCAGTTAATTTTTAGGAGTTGGCGTGCTACGCAAATGGCTTTGTGCGCCAAAACAATGCACCGGCGCAGTAACTTGTTTTTAGATTTATTTTAAGGGTCATTTATTAATCATATTTTTAAAATTTATTCAAAATTTACGAATTTTCCAGTTTTAGTCAAGCTACTCTTTCGCCTAAATGCTCAATTTTCTAAAGTTTCACTTAAAAATGCTGCCAAACTTAACGTATTTTTCGTGAAAAATTGTGAAATAAATTTCGAATTGTTGGTCGCTTTGTAAAAAGTTTTGAAACCCTTCTCCAGCGCCGAATTTGGAACGAAAACAAAATCATTTTCTATTAAAAAACGAACAGAATCAGCGAAAGTTTATAACAGATTATTTGGAAATCTCGTCAAATCAATTCGTCTGAAGACTGTAGAGTTTGTTAAAAAATGTGTTTTTTTAGGTTTGACTGATTTTTTTTTGCTTTACTTTCTACTCAAAAATGCTTAATTTTGTAGAGTTTCACTTAAAAATACTTCACACAGCTCAATCGGCTAACAATTTCACACGACTAAGTGTTCAGA